AAGAGGGAGGGCAGATGAGATCCGGTAGAATGAACAAGAAAGGGTGAGAATATAATAGGAAAAATGAAAGAGGTAGTGAAAGAGGAGAGAAGAGAGAGAGAGAGCATGAGAGAGAGAGAGAGCGAGAGAGAGAGAGAGAGAGAGAGAGAGAGGAGAGAAGTCAGACCTGGTGTCACACTGCCCCCTAGAGGAATAATTATATTTTCCTCACACACACACACACACACACACACACAAACACACACATACAAACATACAAACACACACACTTGAGCACACATCAGCTCCCCATCACATCTCAACAAAGGCCAAAAGAAACCGACAATTAAAACCAACATTGCTGTGGGCAAAGAGTGCTGTTAGTATTACCATTCTCTGTAATTGGCTGTAAAGTATAATGTGGGATTCAATGTCCTCATGGTTAATTGAGTTGATAGAGACACTGCTCATTGAGCACAGAGACAGACAGACAGACAGACAGACAGACAGACAGAAAAACAGACACACAGGGTGACAGACAGAGTGACAGACAGAGACAGACAGACAGACAGACAGACAGACAGACAGACAGACAGACAGACAGACAGACAGACAGACAGACAGACAGACAGACAGACAGACAGACAGACAGACAGACAGACAGACAGACAGACAGACAGACAGACAGAGAGGGTGACAGACAGACAGGGTGACAGACAAGACAGACATGGTGACAGACAGACAGACAGACCAGACAGACAGACAGACAGACAGACAGACAGACAGACAGACAGACAGACAGACAGACAGACAGACAGACAGACAGACAGACAGACAGACAGACAGACAGAGTGACAGACATACAGACAGACAGGGTGACATACAGACAGACAGCCAGGGTGACAGACAGGGTGAGAGACAAGACAGACAGGGTGAAAGACAGACAGACAGGGTGACAGACAGGGTGACAGACAGACAAACAAACAGACAGACAGACAGAGTGACAGACATACAGACAGACAGGGTGACATACAGACAGACAGCCAGGGTGACAGACAGAGTGACTGAGTTCTAAATTCTCTCCATCTTTCTTTCCCCCACACAAGGTATCCATTTAGTTTAGTTAGTTTTGAACCATCCTGTCTTTATTCTTCTCTTTAATCACACTCTCCCTTTCTCCCTTTCTCCATCTCTCCATCTCTCCATCTCTCCATCTCTCCCTTCCTCTGTCTCTCCCTTCCTCCATCTCTCCGTCTCTCCCTTCCTCCATCTCTCCATCTCTCCCTTCCTCCGTCTCTCCGTCTCTCCATTCCTCCATCTCTCTCTTCCTCCGTCTCTCCATCTCTCCCGTCCTCCATCTCTCCCTTCCTCCATCTCTCCATCTCTCCCTTCCTCCATCTCTCCCTTCCTCCATCTCTCTCTCATCTCTCCTCTCTCCATCTCTCCTTCTCCGTCTCTCTCTTCTCATTCTCCGTCCTCCCTTCTCCCTCTCTCTCATCTCCTCCTCGTCTCTCCTTCCCCCGTCCTCTCCATCTCTCATCTCCCTTCTCACAGTCTCTCAAGCCCTCTCTCATCCCTTCCCAGTCATCCATCTCTCTCTCTCCCTATCCCATCTCTCCATCTCTCCTCTCTCCCCTCTTTCTCCTCCTCCTCTCCATCTCCCTCCCTATCTTCTCTCTCTCTCCATCTCTCCTTCCTCCATTCCTCCTCTCCCATCTTCCTCTCCCTTCATCCGTCTCTCATTCTCCATCTCTCCTCAATCCTCCTCTTCATTTCCTCTCTCCTCTCATCTTCCCTTCCTCTCTCTCCACTCCCATTCCCTCCTCGTCTCATCCTCATTCTCTTCTCTATTCCCTTCATCCGTCTCTCCTTCCTCCGTCCTCTCCATCTCTCCCCTTCCTCCGTCTCTCCCTTATCCCTTCCTCCGTCTCTCCATCCTACTATCCTCCTTCCTCCGTCTCTCCCATCCTCCACTCCCCATTCTCCGTCTCTCCATCTTCATCTCCCATCTCTCCTCTCTCCTCTCTCCTTCCATCTCTCCATCTTCCATCCTCATCTCTATCTCCCTCTCATCTCTCCATCTCTCCCGTTCCTCATCTTCTCCCTTCCTCCCATCTCTCCATCTCTCCCTTCTCTTCTCTCCCTTCCTCCTCTCTCCCTTCCATCTCATCATCTCTCATTTCTACATCTCCCCTTCCTCTTCTCTCCATCTCTCATCTCTCCTCTCTCCTCTCTCTTCTCCATCTCTCTCCCTTCCCCTCCTCTCATCCTTCCCGTTTCCTTCCTATCTCTCCTATCCTCCATCTCTCTCCCTATCCTCCATCTCTCCCTCCTCCGTCTCTCCTCCTCGTCTCTCCCTTACCTCCGTCTCTCCCTTCCTCTCCATCTCTCCCCTTCCTCTGTCTCTCCATCTCTCCCTTCCTCCGTCCTCTCCCCTTCCTCATCTCTCCTCTCTCCTCTCCCCGTCCCTCCTTCCCCATCTCTCCCTCCTCCCTCTCCTTCCTCCTCCTCCGCTTCTCCATCCTCCCTTCCCTCCTCCATCTCTCCCTTCCTCCGTCTCTCCATCTCCCTTCCTCCGTCTCCCTCCTTCCTCCTCTCTCTTCCCTTCCTCCTATCTCCTTCCTCCATCCTCTCCGTCTCTCCATCTCTCCCTTCCTCTCTCCTCCTCCCGTTCTCCTTCCTCCTCCGTCCTCCCTTCCTCCTCTCTCTACCTACTCTCTCTCCCTTCTTCCATCTCTCCATCCTCGTCTCTCCTCTCTCCCTCCCTTCCTCCGTCTCTCCTCTCTCCTTCCTCCATATCCCCCTTCCTCCATCTCTCCCTTTCCTCCGTCTCTCCATTCCTCTCTCCTTCCTCTCTCCATCTCCCCTTCCTCCGTCTTCCATCCTCTCCTCTCCCTCCTCCATCTTCCCCTTCCTCCGTCTCTCCCTTCCTCTCTCCTCTTCCATCCCTTCCTCTCTTCCTTCCTCTCCTCCCTCTCCTACTCTCCCTTCCATCTCCTCTACTCAAATATTCTTCATACTCCTCTATCCATCATCTCTTCTCCTCTTTCTTTCACCCTCTTCTCGTAATTCCATCGCTCTCTACTCCAGCCTTTCCTGTCTTACTATTCTCCTGCTTTCCATCCTTCTGTGTCCGGTTACAACCCTTGGAGGTTCGAGTTACACTCTGTGCGGTGTTGAACCTCCGTGTCGTACTGTCCACAGTCCTGAGTCTTGCTCCCTCATGACTCCTAATGAGGTCCGTCAAGAGTCCGTCACCCTTATTCTCCAGGGCTAGCCAAAGTCTAGGACAAGAAAAAGGAAGAAGAACATAAAGAAAAGCGCAGGTACGATCCACTCCGGGCCACCACTACGGGGACATCTCTCCTTCCACTCATCCCTTCCTCCCCTTCTCCGTCTCTTCCATCTTCCCTCCCTCTCATTCTCTCACAACCTGCCTCCCTTAATCAATCTCTCTCACTCAATATTTTCTCAAATACCTCTCTCTCATGCCAGAGCATCTCTGTCTCATCTGTCTTTCACCCCTCTCTCTCTGAGTATTCCATCTGTCCTGACTGACTCCAGACTCTATTCTCCTGTGATTGGTTAATGTATTCTCCTCTGTTATTCACACATACCCTTTTGGGGTGAGGTGTACAAACCCTATGGGAGGTTGATGAGGAGGTTTACAGCTCATTGTGTGAGAGGAAGTGTGTGAACCTGTCCGTGTGTGTACCTGGTCCACAGAGTCCTGGAGTCTGTGTGACTCCCTCAGTGACTCCTATATGAGGTCCGGTTCAGAGAGTCGATCAGCCCCTTATTCTCCAGGGCTGTAGCCAAAGTCTAGAGACAAGAGAAAAGGAATGAGAGAGAGAAATAAAGAAAGAGAAAGAAGAGGAGAGAGATAGCGAGGGGAGGGCAGCAGAAGTTAGGGGGAAATCGTGTTATACAGCGGAGAGTGACATTTTGTTGTGTTCTGACTGAAGGGACTGAGAAGTGGACATTTTGTGCATAATGAAGAAGTGGAATGATTGTGTTCAAATGGCAGTGACGCATGTCAGAACATGACCAGGCAGATCTAATCAGATATATTATAGCTACACTGAACAAAAATATAAACACAACATGTGTTGGTCCCATGTTTCATGAGCTGAAATAAAATATCCCAGAAATGTTCCACAGCACAAAAAGTGTATTTCTCTCAAAATGTGTGCACAAATATGTTTATATCCCTGTTAGTGAGCATTTCTCCTTTGCCAAGATAATGCATCCACCTGACAGGTGTGGCATATCAATAAGCTAATTAAACAGCATGATCATTACACAGGTGCACCTTGTGCTGGGGACAATAAAAGGTCACTCTAAAATGTGCAGTTTTGTCACACAACACAATACCACAGATGTCTCAAGTTTTGAGGGAGCATGCAATTGGCATGGTCACTGCTGGAATGTCCATCAGAGCTGTTGCCAGATAATTGAAAATTAATTTATCTACCATAAGCAGCATCCAACGTAATTTTAGAGAATTTGGCAGTGTGTCCAACTGGCCTCACAACCACAGACCACGTGCAACCACGCCAGCCCAGGACCTCCACATCCGAGCTTCTTCACCTGCGGGATCGTCTGAGACCAGCCACTTGTACAGCTGATGAAACTGTGGGTTTGCACAACGCACACACACACACGCACACACACACACATACACACACGCACACACACACGCACACACGCACACACACATGCACACACACACGCACACACACATACGCACATACACACACACACGCACACACACACACGAACAAACACACACGCACACACACGCACACACACACACGCACACACATGCACGCACACGCACACACACATGCACACACACACACACACACACACACGCACACACACACGCACACACACACACACACACACGCACACGCACACACACAATGGATGGTCTGATTAACCGAATTAACAGCAAGAAACCGTCACAGTGTACAGTAATAAAGCAACGGTACTGTGTGTGTGTGTGTGTGTGTTACCTGTCCCCATAGGCCGGCTCTGGTGGTGTTGAAGTTGACCTCAGTGACGACAGAGGCAGCATCAGGGGGGATGAAGGGGGAGGGGTTACGTGTGGCCAGGAACAGACGGAACTCGTTATAATCTATCACCTTGTCACCTATCTGAACTACGTACCGCAGACCTGGAGAGATTGAGGGAGGGAGGGGGAGAGAGAAAGAGAGAGAGAGAGAGAGAGAAAAATAAGGGTTAATCCAGCACTTACATTTTATGGATATAAACTCTGCCTCTTCTCTGCATTGCAGCACACCCTGCTCCCTCCCTCCCTCCCTCCCTCCCTCCCTCCCTCCCTCCCTCCCTCCCTCCCTCCCTCCCTCCCTCCCTCCCTCCCTCCCTCCCTCCCTCTTTTCGTTTCTCCTGTCCATCCTCCAGTGGATGGCTGATCCCCCTCTTTTCCTTCCAGTGGATTCACTACCCTTTAACCAACACCACTCTTTCTCTCTTCCTCTCCTTCTTCACACTCTCGTCATCTCTCCTTCTTGCCTTTTGAATAAATGAATGTGTGTTAAAACACATGTAGCGTGTATTATGGTAATAGCATGTTCATGTGACCATGGCATGTTCATGTTCAACATGGCCAAGACATGTTCATCTTTAAGCTGAAACATGAAAACACACATAAATTGTTCATGTGAGTGAGGAAGAATAACCAGTGTGAAATGTACCAATGTCATGACTAATGGTTGTATTAGTGATGAGTATGTAGTTTGATGGGGAGTCTGGCTTTAATGGGCCTTGAAGACTTAGATGACTCATGGATGTCTGCTGTCTTTGGGCACCATGGCAATGGCTGAATGCTGGGAACATGAGCACTTCCTGTACCTGAGGAGATGTCATAGAGGAGAGGAACAGTACCGTCGTGGTCAAAAGTTTTGAGATGACACAAATATTACTTTTCACAAAGTCTGCTGCCTCAATTTTTATGATGGAAATTTGCATATACTCCAGAATGTTATGAAGAGTGATCAGATGAATTGCAATGAATTGCAAAGTCCCTCTTTGCCATGAAAATGAACTTAATCCCCAAAAAACATTTCCACTGCATTTCAGCCCTGCCACAAAAGGACCAGCTGACATCATGTCAGTGATTCTCTCGTTAACACAGGTGAGAGTGTTGACAAGGACAAGGCTGGAGATCACTCTGTCATGCTGATTGAGTTAGAATAACAGACTGGAAGCTTTAAAAGGAGGGTGGTGCTTGAAATCATTGTTCTTCCTCTGTTAACCATGGTTACATGCAAGGAAGCACGTGCCGTTATCATTGCTTTGCACAAAAAGGACTTCACAGGCAAGGATATTGCTGCTAGTAAGGTTGCACCTAAATCAACCATTTATCGGATCATCAAGAACTTCAAGGAGAGAGGTTCAATTGTTGTGAAGAAGGCATCAGGGCGCCCAAGAAAGTCCAGCAAGCGCCAGGACCGTCTCCTAAAGTTGATTCAGCTGCGGGATCGGGGCACCACCAGTGCAGAGCTTGCTCAGGAATGGCAGCAGGCAGGTGTGAGTGCATCTGCACGCACAGTGAGGCAAATACTTTTGGAGGATGGCCTGGTGTCAAGAAGGGCAGCGAGGAAGCCACTTCTCTCCAGGAAAAACATCAGGGACAGACTGATATTCTGCAAAAGGTACAGGGATTGGACTGCTGATGACTGGGGTAAAGTAATTTTCTCTGATGAATCCCCTTTCCGATTGTTTGGGGCATCCGGAAAAAAACTTGTCCGGAGAAGACAAGGTGAGCGCTACCATCAGTCCTGTGTCATGCCAACAGTAAAGCATCCTGAGACCATTCATGTGTGGGGTTGCTTCTCAGCCAAGGGAGTGGGCTCACTCACAATTTTGCCTAAGAACACAGCCATGAATAAAGAATGGTACCAACACATCCTCCGAGAGCAACTTCTCCCAACCATCCAAGAACAGTTGCCTTTTCCAGCATGATGGAGCACTCTACCTTAAGGCAAAAGTGATAACGAAGTGGCTCGGGGTACAAAACATCGACATTTTGGGTCCATGGCCAGGAAACTCCCCAGACCTTAATCCCATTGAGAACTTGTAGTCAATCCTCAAGAGGTGGGTGGACAAACAAAAACCCACAAATTCTGACAAACTCCAAGCATTGATTATGCAAGAATGGGCTGCCATCAGTCACGATGTGGCCCAGAAGTTAATTGACAGCATGCCAGGGCGGATTGCAGAGGTCTTGAAAAAGAAGGGTCAACACTGCAAATATTGACTCTTTGCATAAACGTAATGTAATTGTCAATAAAAGCCTTTGACACTTATGGAATGCTTGTAATTATACTTCAGTATACCATAGTAACATCTGACAAAAATATCTAAAAATACTGAAGCAGCAAACTTTGTGAAGATCAATACTTGTGTCATCCTCAAAACTTTTGACCACGACTGTAGAACCCAGAGCACTATCTCTATCTCCTCCTCCTCACCCTGTCATCATAGTGAGTGTAGACTCACCCTGTCATCATAGTGTGTGTAGACCAACCCTGTCATCATCGTGTGTGTAGACTCACCCTGTCATCATATTGTGTGTAGACCAACCCTGTCATCATCATGTGTGTAGACTCACCCTGTCATCATCGTGTGTGTAGACTCACCCTGTCATCATCGTGTGTGTAGACTCACCCTGTCATCATAGTGTGTGTCGACTCACCCTGTCATCATTGTATGTGTCGACTCACCCTGTCATCATCGTGTGTTTAGACTCACCCTGTCATCGTATTGTGTGTAGACTCACCCTGTCATCATATTGTGTGTAGACCAACCCTCTCATCATCATGTGTGTAGACTCACCCTGTCATCATATTGTGTGTAGACCAACCCTGTCATCATCATGTGTGTAGACTCACCCTGTCATCATCGTGTGTGTAGACTCACCCTGTCATCATAGTGTGTGTAGACTCACCCTGTCATCATTGTGTGTGTCGACTCACCCTGTCATCATTGTATGTGTCGACTCACCCTGTCATCATCGTGTGTTTAGACTCACCCTGTCATCATAGTGTGTGTAGATTCACCCTGTCATCATAGTGTGTGTAGACTCACCCTGTCATCATAGTGTGTGTAGACTCACCCTGTCATCATAGTGTGTGTAGACTCACCCTGTCATCATAGTGTGTGTAGATTCACCCTGTCATCATTGTGTGTGTAGACTCACCCTGTCATCATTGTGTGTGTCGACTCACCCTGTTATCATTGTATGTGTCGACTCACCCTGTCATCATCGTGTGTGTAGATTCAACCATGTCATCATCGAGTGTGTAGATTCACCCTGTCATCATCGTGTGTGTAGACTCACCCTGTCATCATAGCGTGTTTAGACTCACCCTGTCATCATCGTGTGTGTAGACTCACCCTTTCATCATATTGTTTGTAGACCTACCCTGTCATCATAATGTATGTAGACTCTCCCTATCATCATATTGTGTGTAGACTCACCCTGTCATCATCGTGTGTGTAGACTCACCCTGTCATCATCGTGTGTGTAGACTCACCCTGTCATCATAGTGTGTGTAGACTCACCCTGTCATCATCGTGTGTGTAGACTCACCCTGTCATCATCGTGTGTGTCGACTCACCCTGTCATCATTGTGTGTGTCGACTCACCCTGTTATCATTGTATGTGTCGACTCACCCTGTCATCATCGTGTGTGTAGATTCAACCATGTCATCATCGAGTGTGTAGATTCACCCTGTCATCATCGTGTGTGTAGATTCAACCATGTCATCATCGTGTGTGTAGACTCACCCTGTCATCATAGCGTGTTTAGACTCACCCTGTCATCATCGTGTGTGTAGACTCACCCTTTCATCATATTGTTTGTAGACCTACCCTGTCATCATAATGTATGTAGACTCTCCCTATCATCATATTGTGTGTAGACTCACCCTGTCATCATCGTGTGTGTAGACTCACCCTGTCATCATAGTGTGTGTTGACTCACCCTGTCATCATTGTATGTGTCGACTCACCCTGTCATCATCGTGTGTTTAGACTCACCCTGTCATCGTATTGTGTGTAGACTCACCCTGTCATCATATTGTGTGTAGACCAACCCTCTCATCATCATGTGTGTAGACTCACCCTGTCATCATATTGTGTGTAGACCAACCCTGTCATCATCATGTGTGTAGACTCACCTTGTCATCATCGTGTGTGTAGACTCACCCTGTCATCATCGTGTGTGTAGACTCACCCTGTCATCATAGTGTGTGTAGACTCACCCTATCATCATTGTGTGTGTCGACTCACCCTGTCATCATTGTATGTGTCGACTCACCCTGTCATCATCGTGTGTTTAGACTCACCCTGTCATCATAGTGTGTGTAGATTCACCCTGTCATCATCGTGTGTGTAGACTCACCCTGTCATCATAGTGTGTGTAGACTCACCCTGTCATCATCATGTGTGTGTAGACTCACCCTGTCATCATAGTGTGTGTAGATTCACCCTGTCATCATTGTGTGTGTCGACTCACCCTGTTATCATTGTATGTGTCGACTCACCCTGTCATCATCGTGTGTGTAGATTCAACCATGTCATCATCGAGTGTGTAGATTCACCCTGTCATCATCGTGTGTGTAGATTCAACCATGTCATCATCGTGTGTGTAGACTCACCCTGTCATCATAGCGTGTTTAGACTCACCCTGTCATCATCGTGTGTGTAGACTCACCCTTTCATCATATTGTTTGTAGACCTACCCTGTCATCATAATGTATGTAGACTCTCCCTATCATCATATTGTGTGTAGACTCACCCTGTCATCATCGTGTGTGTAGACTCACCCTGTCATCATCGTGTGTGTAGACTCACCCTGTCATCATAGTGTGTGTAGACTCACCCTGTCATCATCGTGTGTGTAGACTCACCCTGTCATCATCGTGTGTGTCGACTCACCCTGTGCTATCAGGTCTCTCCTCAGTAGTGGGTAGAGTACCGTCTCCACTCCATCCATCTCCTGGATGATCAGAGTTTTCCCAAAACGGACAGCCAGTTCCAGAGACGTGATGACGTTAGGGTCCTGTAGGAAAACACACAGAGAGGAGTATTTCTGATAACAGGACTAATGCCTGGTCTGATGTCACAACTGGTATCTAACTGGTTACATTATGACTAAGACAGCTTTTGACTGACAGGTGTGACTGACAGGTGTACATGCTGGTTGAAGACCTCAAGGCAATGCTCATTCTGGTGAGTATGGAGCCACTCTGTAGCCCGAGAGGAGGGTTTGATGAGGAATGGACACGCAACAGACAGAGAGAGAGAGAGAGAGAGAGAGAGAGAGAGAGAGAGAGAGAGGAAGGAGGAGAGAGAGAGCGAGGAGAAGAGAGAAGGAGAGAGAAGACGAGAGAAGGAGAGAAGAAGAGGAAGAGGAGAGAGAGAGGATTGGAGAGAGATTGGCAAGGAGCGAGAGAAAGCTGAGAGTGAGAGCCAAGAGAGAGAGAGAGCTGAGAGAGGAAGAGAAGAGAGTGAGAGAGAGCAGGAAAGGAGAGATGTATTAAGACAGATGCAGAAGTTTCTTCTCTGTGAGGAGAATCTTTGATGCCCAGTCCAATACTCTCTCACACCTGTCACAGTGATTGGCCAGCGACTGTCTGGATTCAGAGCAGCCAGCCATTGGATGGCTTTAACCACCAAGCACAAGGGATGAAATCTCTCTTTAATGCTTTGGCTCCCTCTATTTAATGCCATCTTGCCTTTTCTCTCTTTCCATCTCTCTAAACCATGTCCTTTCTGTTTATCTTTCCCCATCCCTCCTTCATTATGATCCCAAGTATTATTTTATTCATCCTTTCTCTCTCTCCCTCTTTCTCTCTGTAGATTCATATATGCTTTAGAAGTGGTGTGGTTGATGTTTATGGCCCTGTCTGTGTAAACTGCAATGCCTTTATCTACAGTCTCCCAGGGCTGACAATCACACATCTGACACATCTGCTGTGATGGTCCAACCTTTACACTCTCTACCAGACCTAGCATAGAGAACAGAACCACAGTTTGGAGGGCAATTTATGACAGACACACTGAACAGACATGTCACACAGCCCCAAACACCAGTGGAACACCCTTTTATTGCATGTTTGCAGTAAATTAATGTGGGAGCACACCAGACATCCTTTATAAAGGGTCTAAGAATCACAGTTTTGACTAGTGTTGCAAAGGGAGGGTATATTACTGGAAACTTTCTAAGTTTACCAGTAAACTATCAGAATTTTGGTATCTTTCAATGTTTTTATGTAATCTATCACAAGACATCTAGTGGCCCTTTTGGGTACTTCAGATTATCACTGGTGTCTGTAATCATCTTAGTGTGGCTTTATCACATGTAAAATGTATGAAATAATTAAATAAGATTATTTAAAAAGAAATAGAATGACAAAGCTGTAAAACATGAACCTACTTTAAAAATAAACCATCAACTTAGTGAATACCATTGCTGTTTAATGTGAGGGTTTCAGCATGAAATATCCTTTGTTTACTTTTTTACAAACTTATGTTTTACTGTCAATAGTCACTAGTAAGTCTACACACCCCTTGCACAGTATTCACATTTTGTTGCCTTAAAATTAAATCTCAAAAGGGAATAAATTAGGATTTTCTCTTACTTATCCACATAACCTAATTCAAATATTATAGAACGTTTTCCAAATTAATTAAAACATTTCATTATTTGTAATTTGTTTGGACATTTCTCTGTTATATTTCATTCACTTTGAATATGTCAATTTAATACATTTTCTTATTTAATTTTAAGGCAACAAAATGTGAAGACCATGCAAGAGGTGTGTCGACTTTCACTAGGCAATGTATTGATTTGTTGTCAATGTTTTGGCATCAAACTGGTGGCAGTTGTGAAAAAAGTTGGAGAGCTAATTGATAATAATGCCATTGTTGATTAGATGCTTTTTTCATTAATCAGGCTATTTTCTCTTGAACCATCTATCTACTAGAAACTCATGGACAATATGGACACAGATATAATAAATGAATACTATGTCGAATACATTTTTTAAGTTATTCAATTATAAATTACCAAAGTTACGATAGATTGCCATAGATTTTCTGTTAATTACCAATATTGCTGACGATTCTGGTAATTTTGGCAAATTACCAGTAGCTTTGCAACCCTAGTTTTGACAGAGTCATCTACAGAGACCACTTCACTCAAACCGCCTACTTCACTCACTCTGCTACCATAGACTGACAGACTCCCCTCTTTACTCAGTAGGGCTGGAGGGATGGGGGAGACAGGGGAGATTGGAGAGAGTGGAGGGAGTGGGGAGGGGGGAGACAGGGGAGAGAGGGGAGGGGAGAGACAGGGGAGAGGAACATGAGGGAGGGGAGGGAGAGGGGAGGGAGACAGTGGAGGGAGGGGGGAGAGGGATGGTTGAGAGGGTGCAGGAGGGATTTTTACATTTGAGAGGGTGCAGGAGGGGGAGTGACGGTTGAGAGGGTGTAGGAGGGCGAGTGACAGTTGAGAGGGTTCAGGAGGGAGAGTGACGTTGAGAGGGTTCAGAAGGGAGGGAGAGTGACAGTTGAGAGGGTTCAGGAGGGAGAGTGACGTTTGAGAGGGTTCAGAAGGGAGGGAGAGTGACAGTTGAGAGGGTGCAGGAGGGAGAGTGACGTTTGAGAGGGTTCAGAAGGGAGGAAGAGTGACAGTTGAGAGGGTGCAGGAGGGAGAGTGCGGTTGAGAGGGTTCAGAAGGGAGGGAGAGTGACGGTTGAGAGGGTGCAGGAGGGGAGTGACGGTAGAGGGGGTGTAGAAGGGAGAGGGTAAACAACGGCACAGTGGGTCTCTTACTGAGAGTACAATGTAGAAATGGTGACCCATTCAGAAACAGTTATTATGTGTTCTTCTGTAGGCTGTGTTTTTGGGAAAGACAGAAGTTAAGAGGCTGAGCTCTTACACACCACAGCCACAGATTGCTGCAGAGGCTGTGTGTGGTGAAAAATCCCTGATTACACTTTAATTTCAGAGTGTAATTATATCTACAAAGCAAAGGCCACTCATTCAGAAGACTGACTAAGCCTGGTGAAGCCGTGCACACATACATGCACACGCACACACACACACTAAGCAACCAAAGTCCTATGGGACAAAAATAGGATTATCAACAAAATAGCCAAATCAGAAGGAAAAGCTACTTTTCATGGAAACTCTTATTTGTGTCTAGCTATTTAGTGCCTCTAGAGGCATCATGCAACAACAAACTGGTTAAGATGATTAGTGAGAAAACCATTACAAAGTCTGGGACAACAAATCAATTATTTAAAGAAGAAAAATATGGACAAACAAAATGAGAAACCTCTATAAACAAACTGTAAATGTTTCTGTTGCCATGCCCCTGCAGTGGTTTGTTTTAGAATAGAGGACTAACACAAGTAAAGGGTTTATGTAGTTGCTATGTGGGAGGGCGCTTGTGCATGTGTGTGTGTTCTGCAGGCAGCCTGCAGTAGGGTGGGGGTATAGATGGATGGATGGGGTGAGTTCTTACCCGGGACTTGATCACATTGATCTTAATGTAGCAATGCCAGATGAAAGACAAACAGGAGAGAGGGATGAACGACAATAACATACGGGTCACAATGGATGTGACCCCGTATGTAAAACACATGACTCTCCAAGTCAGGGAGGGAATTCAGCTTCAACACAACACTACACAACACTATACAACACTACATAACAATATACAACACAACACTACACAACCCTACACAACACAACACAACACTACACAACACAACACAACACAACACTACCACAACACAACACAACACTACACTACACAACACAACACTACACAACACAACACAACACAACACAACACAACACAAACATCTACACTACACAACAAACACAACACTAAAACAACAACAACACAACACTACACTACACAACAACAACATCAACACAACACAACACAACATACACAACCTACACAACACAAACACAAACACTTACACTAAGAGCAAAGCGACAGAAACATCTGGAACATAGAGAGGAACACAGAGGACTCACACACCATACCAAACCTACCCAGTGCTTTCTAATCTGCACCGCTTCCCAAATAAGACAGAAAAGAGATGATGAATCAGAGAGAAAGAGAGAGATAGTGAAAGAGAGAGAGAGCGACAAGAGAGTGGAGAAGAGAGAGCGAAGAGTGAGAGAGAGTGAGAGAGAGAGAGAGCTAGAGAGAGAGAGAGAGAGAGAGAGAGAGAGTGAGAGAGAGAGGCGAGACGAGAGAGAGGGAGAGAGAGAGAGAGAGAGAGAGCGAGGCGAGAGAGAGAGAGAGAGAGAGAGAGAGAGAGAGAGAGAGAGACATCAGCGCCACAAGTAACTTCCACAAAGCAGGGGCCTTCTATGCCATCAAAAGGAACATAAAATTTACATACCAATTAGGATCTGGCTAAAAATACTTGAATCTGTTATAGAACCCATTGCCCTTTCTGGTTGTGAGGTCTGGGGTCCACTCACAAACCAAGAATTCACAAAAAGCGAAAACACCAAATTGAGGTTCTACATGCAGAATTCTGCAAAAATATCCTCTGTGTACAACGTAAAACACCAAATAATGCTTCCAGAGCAGAATTAGGCCGATACACGCTAATAGTCAAAATCCAGAAAAGAGACATTAAATTCTATAACCACCTAAAAGGAAGCGATTCCCAAACCTTCCATAACAAATCCATCACCTACATAGAGATGAACCTGGAGAAGAGTCCCCTAAGCAAGCTGGTCCTGGGGCTCTGTTCACAAACACAAACAGACCCCACAGAGCCCCAGGACAGCAACACAATTAGACCCAATCAAATCATGAGAAAACCAAAAGATAATTACTTGACACATTGGAAAGAATTAACGAAAGAACAGAGCAAACTAGAATGCTATTTGGCCCTAAACAGAGAGTACACAGCGGCAGAATACCTGACCACTGTGACTGACCCAAAATTAAGGAAAACTTTGACTATGTAAAGACTCAGTGAGCATAGCCTTGCTATTGAGAAAGGTCGCCGTAGGCAGACCTGACTCTCAAGAGAAGACAGGCTATGTGCACACTGCACACAAAATGATGTGGGTGAATGTATGACCATATTAGAGACACATATTTCCCTCAGATTACATAAACCCACAAAGAATTAGAAAACAAATCCAATTTTGATAAGCTCCCATATATATTCGGTGAAATACCACAGTGTGCAATCACGGCAGCAAGATTTGTGACCTGTTGCCACAAGAAAAGGGCAACCAGTGAAGAACAAACACCATTATAAATTAAACCCATATTTATTTATTTTCCCATTTGTACTTTAACTATTTGCACATTGTTACAACACTGTATATAGACATAATATGACTTTTGGAACTTGTATGAGTGTAATATTTACTGTTCACTTTGTATTATTTATTTCACTTTTGTTTATCCATTTCACTTGCTTTGGCAATGTAAACATATGTTTCCCATGCCAATAAAGCCCCATTGAATTGAATTGAATTTAATTTAATTTAATTGAGAGAGAGAGAAAGATTGTATCACAGTCACACACACACATTGTCAGAGAGAGAGGACAGAAAGAGACAAAGGTTGTGTGTGTGTGTGTGTGTGTGTGTGTGTGTGTGTGTGTGTGTGTGTGTGTGTGTGTGTGTGTGTGTCTCACTCTGTAGTCCAGAAGCCTTCATCCATGTCTCCTGGCTGTTTCGTCTCCTGTCCTCTGGAGCAGCAGACAGGTATGTGATGAAGGCTGCTGCCAGCATCGCTCTCTTAGGCAAGGTATCCAACTCCTCAGTGATCTCAGCCACCTGACACACACACATATGTGTACGCGCGCACACACAAACACACATGCACACACACGCTCACACACAAACACACACACACACACAAACACACACACACACTAAACTCAGTTGCAGGACATTGGCGAGCTGCTTTAGTTGTGAGCTGATTTAGTTGTTATTACCTAAACAGCAGCTCAGGTAGAACTGCCATAAGCACAGAGTGTGAGAACATACCCAGACCATGGCTCAGTGCCAGAACATCTGTGCAGTGTGGAGGCTAAACGAATAGCAGACCATTTGGTGAGCAATAGGAACAGACCACCACCACCGGAGTTCATACACTGACTGTGGGAGTGTGGAGAGGTGAGTGTGTGTATGTCCATGATTAGCAGGTAAAGCAGTCACTGGTGAGGGCTCCAAGCAGGACAGTGTGTGTGTGTGTGTGTGTGTGTCTGTGTGTGTGTGTGTGTGTGTGTGTGTGTGTGTGTGTGTGTGTGTGTGTGTGTGTGTGTGTGTGTGTGTGTGTGTGTGTGTGCGTGCGTGCGTGCGTGTGTGGACCCCCCAAAAAATTGCCACGCCCCTGCAGTGGTTTGTTTTAGAATAGAGGACTAATGCGGGAGGGCGCTTGCGCATGTGTGTGTGTGTGTGTGTGTGTCTGAGGGAGACTGTGGGAGATTGAGTGCTTTAATTAAAGAGCAGACAGATGCTGGAGAGAGAGAAGTAAAAACAGCCAGGAGGGACCGAGTCAGCAGGATACATCTCCCCTCTACAAACACACCATCCACACACACACACACACACACACACACACACACACACACACACACACACACACACACACCTGGGCATTCCAGCGTGTGTGTTCTCCATCCAGTTGGTGTATGAGTTGCTCTGCTGCTGCCTTCTCACCAAGCTGCTTGCCTATTGTCCTGTAGCCCATCCCAGCCTTGTGCAGGTCTACAATTTTATCCCTGATGTCCTTACACAGCTCTCTGGTCTTGGCCATTGTGGAGAGGTTGGAGTCTGTTTGATTGAGTGTGTGCACAGGTGTCTTTTATACAGGTAACGAGTTCAAACAGGTGCAGTTCATACAGGTAATGAGTGGAGAACAGGAGGGCTTCTTAAAGAAAAACTAACAGGTCTGTGAGAGCCGGAATTCTATTATTTTTTTTATTATTTTTTTTCTTCTTTTTTTGGGGGATGGATCAGCTTAATATTGCAGATAGATTGTATCTTCTATCAATGTAATTGTCTGCATCACTTCCAATCCCCCATGTTTTTTATTATTTTTTATATATATATATTCCCCTTTATTACTTTTCAACCCCACCATCCTTTCCCTACTTGGAGTAAATTAGTGAACAACAACGCCCAGGCCTCTACTTCCGGTCTATAATTACTATCTACACCTTATGGACAGAGTTAATTTTACAATAATTCTATATCCATATATATATATATATATATATATATATATATATATATATACATATATACATATATACATATATATATATATATATATATATATATATATATATATATATATATATATATAATATATATATATATATATATATATATTTATTTTTTGCTCCTGAACTTCTTCTACTCTAAACCTCTCCGATCATTTTCATGATGTCCATCCGGTTTGCTTCTAAATGCCATATCTTTCTAACTGTGCTCTTTCCCAAAAGCTCCCAACATACAACCTATATACTTATTATGGACACAGTATGCTTACATTATTAGCTATCTTTGTTATTATTTGTTGTTATTTGTTATTAGTCCCATCCTTGAACTCTATTCAATACCTCCCATCTATCTCTTAACACCATCCATATAGGATTTCTATTTGCCATATATATTTCAACCATACTGTGATGTTTTACAAAAGTTCTGAACCTTTCTATTCTCATTGCTTCTACAGATTGTGAATTAAAAATAAACATTTTTGCTAAAAGTATTATTATATTATTGATTGATTGACTATGACTTTTCAGATCACCCAGTAATGCTATCTGCAAGGTTAGTTCCAGGTAAATATTGCAATCCTTTAGCCATTCCTGGACCTGTGTCCAAAAACAAGCTACAAATGGACAGAACCAAAACAAATGATCTAATGATTCTATCTCTTCACAGCAAAATCTGCAGAGCTCGGAAGATTGTATCCCCCATATAAATAACATTCTATTGGTAGCAAGAATTTTATATAATAATTTAAATTGAAAGATTCTAATTTTTGAATCCGGTGTCGTTTTGCGTGTCAGTTCATAAACACTATGCCATGGGATCGGTACGTCAAAGATCTCTTCCCAACTATTTTGCAATATATATGGGACGGCTGTCAATCCTTTGGTCCTTAAGTGAAACTGATATACTTTTTTATTTATCACAGTTTTCCTTAACCAATTATGTTCTTTAATGCAAGGCCGACAGACAAGTTCCTTACTTTCTCCCCCTTCAACTTTCCTCTTCCACTTTTGCGGTAAGGCTGCAATTATTTGGTTGTAATTTTGGGTAGAGCAGACATTTCCATATGTTTTTGTTAGCTGCATGTGCGACATAACTCCACCAGTCCTACCGATGATATCATTTACGAAGATTATACCTTTTTTAAACATTCTGTCAAAAAATAAAGGTTTTTTGTCAATTAGTATATTTGAATGTAACCACAATATTTGTTGCATTATTTGTTCTGTCGTTTCTGGAGGATTAAATTGAAATTGCAACCAACTTTCTATGGCTTGTTTTAGAAATAGTGACATTTGGGAGATTATTTCCTTTTCAAATAACTGAAAGTGAGAGGTTGTAATCTGAATAAAGGGAAAAAAGGCCTTTCTTGAACAGTGGGTGAGACAATCTTACTAATTTGCTTGAGAACCAGTTCAGATTTAAGTATAACTTTTGTATGACTGAAGCTTTTAGTGATAGGTCTAATGCTTTAATATTTAATAATTTCTGTCCTCCGAATTCATATTCATTATATAAATATGCTCTTTTAATTTTGTCTGGCTTGCCACTCCAAATAAAATTGAATATTTTATTCTCATATAATTTAAAAAACTGTTTACTAGGCGTAGGCAAGACCATAAGCAAATAGGTAAACTGGGATAATACTAAAGAGTTAATCAGGGTGATTTTTCCACAAATTGACAGGTATTTTCCTTTCCATGGTAGTAAGATCTTATCTATTTTTGCTAACTTTCTATTAAAATTTATTGAAGTGAGATCATTTATTTCCTTTGGGATATGTATTCCGAGTATATCCACATCACCATCAGACCATTTTATTGGTAAACTACATGGTAATGTAAAAATTGTATTTTTTAGTGATCCAATACGTAATATAGTACATTTGTCATAATTTGGTTTTAATCCAGAGAGGTTAGAAAATGTATCTAGATCCTCTATGAGGCTGTGGAGGGATTCTAGTTGTGGATCTAAAAGAAAACATGAATCATCTGCGTACAATGACACCTTTGTTTTTAAGCCCTGTATTTCTAAGCCGGAATTCTTACTGGTTGGTAGGTGATCAAATACTTATGTCATGCAATAAAATGCAAATTAATTACTTAAAAATCATACGATGTGATTTTCTGGATTTTTGTTTTAGATTCCGTCTCTCACAGTTGAAGTGTACCTATGATAAAAATTACAGACCTCTACATGCTTTGTAAGTAGGAAAACCTGCAAAATCGGCAGTGTATCAAATACTTGTTCTCCCCACTGTATATTGCACTACTCATCTCATATGTATATACTGTATTCTATTCTATAATATTCTACTGTATCTTAGTCCATGCCGCTCTGTCATTGCTTGTCCATATATGTATATATTCTTAAATTCCATTCCTTACTAGATTTGTGAGTATTGGGTATATGTTGTGATATTACTTGTTAGATATTACTGCACTGTCGCAGCTAGAAGCACAAGTATCTCGCTACACCCGCAATAACATCTGCTAAACACGTATATGTGACAAATAACATTTGATTTGATTTGATTTGACAACAGAGCAGAGTTAATCAGTGAGACAGTAGAATAGAGAGAGGCTGTCAGGGGATGGAGGGAAAACATATACTGACTTATCTTTCTGCCCCACAGAGTTGAGCTGCTCCTCCAGTTTAGTCTTCCGACTCTCTGTCTTCCTCAAGTTCCTACACACACATACAAACACAAACACACACACACACACACACACACACACACAAAAACACGCAACACACATCAAATTATGCTTGAGGATTAGGGGTGAGCGTGTGTGTATAGCCTCACTCCAGTAGTCCAGCCTGTTTTTTCTCCAGTGGCTGTGTCCTCTCCAGGACCTGTGAATAATGAATGTTGGCCTTCACACAGTTAGCCAAGGGAGTAGCCGCAGCACGTGCACGCCTAGCATTCTGACAACAACAACAACAACAACAACACAGCCTGGAGTAAGAGCAAGGAGGTTTACTTTAGGAGGCTCAAATGATCTCTTCAGCTCGACAGCTATTAGCTAACCGCTTCTATAAAGGTGCATAGGTGGCTGCCTGTAGCTCTAGAGCTAGGTTAATAGTAGTTGCAGTAGTTGTCCATCACATCATATACATTTACATTTAAGTCATTTAGCAGACGCTCTTATCCAGAGCGACTTACAAATTGGTGCATTCAACTTAGTATAGCCAGTGGGACAACCACCCTTTTTTTTATGGGGGGGGGTGTAGAATGATTACTGTTATACTATTCCAGGTATTCCTTAAAGAGGTAGGGTTTCAAGTGTCTCCGGAAGGTGGTCAGTGACTCCGCTGTCCTGGCATCGTGGGGGAGCTTGTTCCACCATTGGGGTGCCAGAGCAGCGAATACATCAGTGGCAGTTGTTCTCCCCTAAGGGAGAAGGTAGAAGTTGGCCCTAACCACTGAAACAGGGTTCAGACAAGTCGTCCCCCTAATGGTTAAGTGTAGGATAATCTGATCCTAGATCTGTGATCAGGTACAACTTTCACCTTGAGCTGTAGCACTAGGCTAACTGGCTAGGCTAACTGGCTAGACTAACAAGTTCACCTTGGGGTCGAAGGAGGCTTTGTTTTTGGTCAGCAGCTCCTCCACACTCTGACGGATCTCATGACTGATGTTCCTTGCCTCAAACGTGGCTATGTCCTCTCTCACCCCCCTCTTTGCCAGGAAACTACAGAGCGAGAGAGACAGAGAGAGAGAGAGAGAGAGAGAGAGAGAGAGAGAGAGAGAGAGAGAGAGAGAGAGAGAGAGAGAGAGAGAGAGAGAGAGAGAGAGAGACGCACAAGCTTTAAATCTGATAATGAGGCATCTAATGCAAATTCCAGCCTGAAGTTATTGAAGTAAAACTTCTAACTCTAATTAAGATCTAACAGTGACAAATCACCAGGTTTATTACTCGTATACATCCTAACACACTATGTATCACACACACACACACTTCCTAACACTGCTCAGAGCGGCTGCACTCACTCAATTAACACAACTCATCATCAACGGCAGATTAGGTTTTCTCAGACCTTCCTCTAGAATGGCTCGCAGACTTATGAGTGTTACAAATGACTGCAACAAGCCATTCAACAGAATACACTACGGACACACCACACACACACACACACACACACACACACACACACACACACACACACTGACAGAATACACTACGGACACACACACACACACACACACACACTGACAAAATACACTACGGACACACACACACACACACACACACACACACACACACACTGACAGAATACACTACGGACACACACACACACACACACACTGACAAAATACACTACGGACACACACACACACACATACACACACACACACACACACACACTGACAGAATACACTACGGACACACACACACACTGACAGAATACACTAAGGACCACACTGACAGAATACACTAAGGACACACACACACACTGACAGAATACACTACAGACACACACACACAATGACATAATACACTACAGACACACATACAATGACAGAATACACTACGGACACACACACAATGACAGAATACACTACAGACACACACACAATGACAGAATACACTACGGACACACACACAGACACTGCTGTCTGGCCCTACATCACCATCTATATGTCTCCGTATCACTCCTTATAGTTCTATTTCTCTCTGTATCACTCTGTCGTGATGTGACTTACTTTCATGTATAACTGTTATTTATTGAATCGCCTATCTATGTTTAATTGTCACTCGATTAAATTAATCATGTAACAATTAACTCATTAGGAATTTGGGGCACCACGGAATAAATTGTTTAACGAGTTACCATCTCTCGAATTAAACCCTTAGAAGATACACTACCGTTCAAAAGTTTGGTGGTCACTTCGAAAGAAAAGCTATTTTTTCTGTCCATTAAAATAACATCAAATTGATCAGAAATACAGTGTAGACATTGTTGATGTTGTAAATGGCTATTGTAGCTGGAAACCGCTGATTTTTTATGGAATATCTACATAGGCAAACAGAGGCCCATTATCAGCAACCATCAGTCCTGTGTTCCAATGGCACGTTGTGTTTGCTAATCCAAGTTTATCATTTTAAAAGGCTAATTGATCAATAGAAAACCCTTTTGCAATTATGTTAGCACAGCTGAAAACTGTTGTGCTGATTAAAGAAGCAATCAAACTGGCCTTCTTGGGACTAGTTGAGTATATGGAGCATCATCAATTGTGGGTTTGATTACAGGATCAAAATGGCAAGAAACAAAGAACTTTCTTCTGAAACTCGTCAGTCTATTCTTGTACTGAGAAATGAAGGCTATTCCATAAGAGAAATTGCCAAGAAACTGAAGGTCTTGTTCAACGCTGTGTACTACTCCCTTCACAGAACAGCGCAAACTGGCTCTAACCAGAATAGAAAGAGGAGTGGGAGGCCCTGGTGCACAACTGAGCAAGAGGACAAATACATTAGAGTGTCTAGTTTGAGAAACAGACGCCTCACAGGACCTCAACTTGCAGCTTCATTAAATAGTACCCGCAAAACACCAGTCTCAATGTCAACAGTGAAGAGGCGACTCCGGGATGCTGACCTTCTAGGCAGAGTTGCAAAGAAAAAGCAATATCTCAGCTGGCCAATAAAAATAAAATATTAAAATGGGCAGTCTGAGATATTGCTTTTTCTTTGCAACTCTGCCTAGAAGGTCAGCATCCCGGAGTCGCCTCTTCACTGTTCATGGACAAAAAATAGCTTTTCTTTCGAAAACAAGGACATTTCTACGTGACCCCAAACTTTTGAACGGTAGTGAGGGAAAAAAGTATTTGCTCCCCTGCTGATTTTGTACGTTTGCCCACTGACAAAGACATGATACGTCTATAATTTTAATGGTAGGTTTATTTGAACAGTGAGAGACAGAATAACAACAACAAAAATCCAGAAAAACGCATGTCAAAAATGTTATGAATTGATTTGCATTTTAATGAGGGAATTGGCTTAATTATTTATTTGCTAACTAACTAAATAATAACAATACAAACACACATTATTATTGTTGATTATTAACGTAATACAAAGAAAACAGGTCCCTAGTGGACTGGACTAACATTAGCATGAATGCTTGAGTAGTGGAGGGGTCAGAATGGAAGGGAGAGACAGAGATTCAAACTATCGTGTCACACCCTGGCTCTGGGGACTCTATATGTTGAGCCAGGGTGTGTAGATTCTATGTGTTCTAGTTCTGTGTTGTAGGTCTATGTGTTATATTTCTATGTTGGCCAGAGTGGTTCCCAATCAGAGGCAACGAGTGTCAGCTGTTGCTGGTTGTCTCTGATTGGGAACCATATTTAAACAGTCTGTTTTCCCTTAGTGTTTGTGGGATCTTGTTTCCGTTTCATTTGTTCCGTGTTCCTAGTAGGTTGTGTTTGAGCTAAGGACGTCACGTTATTGTTTTGTTGTTTTGTTCGTGTTATCTTTCAGATTTAATAAATATGTTTGCATTCAACGCTGCGCATTGGTCCTCTGTTCCCGACGATCGTGACAGAAGATCCCACCATACCAGGACCAAGCAGCGTGTCCAGGAGCAGGCAGCCTGGACATGGGAGGAAGCGCCGGGAAAGGAGCTGGAGAGGTTGGCGATGGCCCAGGTGGGCAAAGGGTGGTCCTGGGAGGACATGCTGGGGGGAAAAGGGCCATGGGCTAAGATTAAGGCCCTGGCGAGAGAGGAGCAACGGCGTCAACAGTGTCGTCGTCGGACGGACGAGAGGCAACCCCAAAACAAATTTTGGGGGGGGCACACGGCATGGCCGACTGGGCAGCAGGAGGCTGCCACAGGGCGATTTGGGAAGTTGGCAGAGGAGGCCGCCAGGTTACGGGGGCCACTGGTCAAAGAGGGGAAGGAAGGTGTAGAGGCACGGCGAGAGGTACTGGGGTGTGTTACCAGTCCGGTCCGGCCCGTTCCAGATCCCGGCGTAGGGCCAGTGGTGTGTGTCCCCAGTACGGTCCGGTCTGTTCCTGCTCCCCGCACCAAGGTAATGGTGCGCTTCGCCAGCCCGGCCTGTTCCTGCTCCTCGCACCAAGCCTACGGTATGCGTCGCCAGCCCGGCCCGGCCTGTTCCTGCTCCACGCACCAAGCTAACGGTGCGCGTCGCCAGCCCGGCCCGGCCTGTTCCTGCCACTCGCACCAAGCTAACGGTGCGCGTCGCCAGCCCGGCCCGGCCTGTTCCTGCCACTCGCACCAAGCCTACGGTGCGCGTCGCCAGCCCGGCCCGGCCTGTTCCTGCCACTCGCACCAAGCCTACGGTGCGCGTCGCCAGCCTGGCCCGGCCTGTTCCTGCCACTCGCACCAAGCTAACGGTGCGCGTCGCCAGCCCAGTCCGGCCTGTTCCGGCCACTCGCACTAAGCCTACGGTGTGCGTCGCCAGCCCGGCCCGGCCTGTTCCTGCCACTCGCACCAAGCCTACGGTGCGCGTCGCCAGCCCGGCCCGGCCTGTTCCTGCCACTCGCACCAAGCCTACGGTGCGCGTCGCCAGCCTGGCCCGGCCTGTTCCTGCCACTCGCACCAAGCCTACGGTGCGCGTCGCCAGCCCGGCCCGGCCTGTTCCTGCCACTCGCACCAAGCCAGGGGTGCGAGTCGTCAGCCCGGTCCGGCCCGTTCCTGCTCCACGCACCAAGCCAGGGGTGCGAGTCGTCAGCCCGGTCCGGCCCGTTCCTGCTCCACGCACCAAGCCAGGGGTGCGCATCGTCAGCTCGGTACGGCCCGTTCCTGCTCCATGCACCAAGCCAGGGGTGCGAGTCGTCAGCCCGGTCCGGCCCATTCCTGCTCCACGCACCAAGCCAGGGGTGCACATCGTCAGCCCGGTACGGCCCGTTCCGGCTCCACGCACCAAGCCAGGGGTGCGCATCGTCAGTCCGGTCCGGCCCGTTCCTGCTCCACGCACCAAGCCAGGGGTGCGCATCGTCAGCCCGGTCCGGCCCGTTGCTGCTCCACGCACCAAGCCAGGGGTGCGCATCGTCAGTCCGGTCCGGCCCGTTCCTGCTCCACGCACCAAGCCAGGGGTGTGCGTCGTCAGTCCGGCACAACCCGTGCCTAGGTCACCGGTGCCTGGTCAGGTTCCGGTTTGTTGCTCCACACCGGAGCTGAAGCAATCCGCGCCTACGATGTCCAGTCCAGCTCCAGCCAGCGGGGCCAGACCGGACCAGGGGCGCTACGTGGGGATTATTGGAGGGTGGTGGTCAAGCCCGGAGCCGGAACCGCCTCCGAGGAGGAATGCCCACCCAGCCCTCCCCTGGTTTGTCTATGTTGAGGCGCGGTCGCAGTCCTTTGGGGGGGGGGGGGGGGTGGGGTGGGGTACTGTCACACCCTGGCTCTGGGGACTCTATATGTTGAGCCAGGGTGTGTAGATTCTATGTGTTCTAGTTCTGTGTTGTAGGTCTATGTGTTATATTTCTATGTTGGCCAGAGTGGTTCCCAATCAGAGGCAACGAGTGTCAGCTGTTGCTGGTTGTCTCTGATTGGGAACCATATTTAAACAGTCTGTTTTCCCTTAGTGTTTGTGGGATCTTGTTTCCGTTTCATTTGTTCCGTGTTCCTAGTAGGTTGTGTTTGAGCTAAGGACGTCACGTTATCGTTTTGTTGTTTTGTTCGTGTTATCTTTCGACTCTGTCAACCACCGCATTCTTATTGGCAGACTAAATAGCCTTGGTTTCTCAAATGACTGCCTCGCCTGGTTCACCAACTACTTCTCAGATAGAGTTCAATGTGTCAAATCGGAGGGCCTGTTGTCTGGACCTATGGCAGTCTCTATGGGGGTGCCACAGGGTTCAATTCTTGGGCCGACTCTTTTCTCTGTGTATATCAATGATGTCGCTCTTGCTGCTGGTGACTCTCAGATCCACCTCTACGCAGACGACACCATTTTGTATACATCTGGCCCTTCATTGGACACTGTGTTAACAAACCTCCAAACGAGCTTCAATTCCATACAACACTCCTTCAGTAGCCTCCAACTGCTCTTAAACACTAGTAAAACTAAATGCATGCTCTTCAACCGAACGCTGCTTGCACCCGCCCACCCGACTAGAATCACTACTCTCGAAGGGTCTGACCTAGAGTATGTGGACAACTACAAATATCTAGGTGTCTGGTTAGACTGTAAACTTTCCTTCCAGACTCACATTAAGAATCTCCAATCCAAAGTTAAATCTAGAATCGGTTTCCTATTTCGCAACAAAGCCTCCTTCACTCATGGCTGCCAAACATGCCCTCGTAAAACGGACTATCCTACCGATCCTTGACTTCGGCGATGTCATTTACAAATAGCCTCCAACACTCTACTCAGCAATTGGATGTAGTCTATCACAGTGCCATCCGTTTTGTCTCCAAAGCCCCATTTAATACCCACCACTGTGACCTGTACGCTCTTGTTGGCTGGTCCTCACTACATATTCGTCGCCAAACCCACTGGCTCCAGGCCATCTATAAATCACTGCTAGGCAAATCCCCGCCTTATCTTAGCTCATTGGTCACCATAGCGACACCCACCCGTAGTCTGCGCTCCAGCGGGTATATCTCACTGGTCATCCCCAAAGCCAACACCTCCTTTGGCCGCAATTCCTTCCAGTTCTCTGCTGCCAATGACTGGAACAAATTGCAAATATCTCTGAAGCTGGAGACACTTATCTCCCTCACTACTTTAAGCATCAGTTGTCAGAGCACCTTACCGATCACTGCACCTGTACACAGCCCATCTGAAATTAGCCCGCCCAACTACCTCATCCCTATATTGTTATTTATTTTGCTCATTTGTACCCCAGTATCTCTATTTCCACATCATCTCTTGCACATCTATCATTCCAGTGTTAATACTAATTGTAATTATTTTGCACTATAGCCTATTTTATTGCCTTACCTCCATAACTTGCTAAATCTGCACACTGTATATTATATGTATTTCTGTTGTATTTTTGACTTTGTTTTGTTTTACCCTATATGTAACTCTGTGTTGTTGTTTTTATCGCACTGCTTTGCTTTATCTTGGCCAGGTCGCAGTTGTAAATGAGAACTTGTTCTCAACTGGTTTACCTGGTTAAATAAAGGTGAAATAAAAATAAATAAAATACATCTTTCAGATTTAATAAATATGTTTGCATTCAACGCTGCGCATTGGTCCTCTGTTCCCGACGATCGTGACATATCGTAGTTACTTTGGAGACTATGCTCACAGTAATCATAATACTTATGCACCCTACTAATGCTAATTCGGATTAGAAATGCAACATGTATTTATGTGTAGCTGTCCTCGAGAGTTGAATTGATGATGTTTGCCCACCAGAGATCCCAATGTCCTTGGTAGAGTTTCTGGTCGTAGTAGTGGTTAGCATGAATACTTCAGACATACCAGCGGTTGTCTGAGAGGGATTGTCCTCTATCTCATGTCTTGTGTGAAAGTTCTCTAGACAACTATATATGCCAGCTGCAGACTGAAATGATAAGGTCTAGTGCATTGTCTTCTTCTTAACCTCGTGTAGAGGTTGAGAGTTTCAGAGTTTCTCCATTTCAAAAGTGTGGACTACCGTCTCACGTTTTCTGGCCTTTCTAGTCTAACCATTTTGTAACTTGTAGCTTCAGCTTCACGCTTCTTGGTCTTGTAGCGTGTCAACCATTTTAAGCCGTGGGGCTTACTGGTCTGATATAAATTCAACCATTTGCAACGTTTGGCTCACACTTCACATCTAGTGGTCTTCCTTTGGTAATGGAGTTGTAGTTTTAAACCATTTTGTAATGTTTACCTCATGCTTCACGTCTGCTGGTCTTGTAGAGTGTCAACCATTTTAAGCCGTGGGGCTTACTGGTCTGATAGAAATTCAACCATTTGCAACGTTTGGCTCACGCTTCACATCTGCTGGTCTGAGGTGAATTTCGTCACAAGGCTTTTTATGCACTCAGGTTAAAAGGGGCGTTCAATCATGTTTACACAATCTCTGATGTCACTCGGGGCGTGGCTAGTCACTGTGCATAGTTTATATGAAAAACGATTATCTCATTAGAAGACTAAAATCACATTCCTATCTTCACCTAAATACTCTCATACTTAATCATATAGTTTATATAACATTTAGATGTAAACTTGATAGATAGAATATGTACATTTTCCGAGTTACAGTTATTACTTGATACCATCCTTAATGACATCACAAAATAATAAACCATATGACATGATTATTCTTTAGCTCCCCACTGACCATTTCCCACATTCTTTTAAGTAGGAATATTGTTTCATTAGCCACTTTTGGATGTTGGAATCTTGGCGGGAAGACTTCCTTTGTTAACAAGTGTCACGATCGTCGTAAGCAACGGACCAAGGCGCAGCGTGATATGCGTACATCATTTTAATGAGTACTGTTAACAATAACAAAACAACAAACCGATACGTGAAGTCCTAAGGTTAACAAACACAAACCTCACCGGAACAAGACACCACAAATGACAAGTGCAAAACAGGCTGCCTAAGTATGGTACCCAATCAGAGACAATGAGCCACAGCTGTCTCTAATTGGGAACCACCCTGGCCAACATAGAAATAAACGATCTAGAAAGAAACACATAGAAAACAAAACATAGACACTACACACCCTGGCTCAACATTTAAGAGTCCCCAGAGCCAGGGCGTGACAACAAATAGTTCTATATCTCCCTGTATCACTCTTTATAGTTCTATCTCTCTTAATCTTGCACACTAAACCTCTCTCTTTCCCTAAATCTCTAGTTCACTCCCTCCCTACCTCTCCCTTCCTCGTTCTCTCCCTCTCTCTGCCCCCTCCCTCCCTCCCTCTCCCTTCCTCCTTCTCTCCCTCCCTCTACAGCATGGTCTGCCTTATCCAGCTTAAATGTAGGCCAGCTATGCTGTTGACCTACGGAGAAGCCCTGTGTTTGTGTTTGTTTATCCAGTATCATCTGAAACAGCCAGGGGAGACAAATATTCACAAGGTAAAACAACGGATAATGCAGAGATGTGAATGCGGGGACGTGTGTTGGGGATAATGCAGGGATGTGAATATGGTGACGTGTGTTGGGGATAATGCAAGGATGTGAATGTGGGGACGTGTGTTGGGGATAATGCAGAGATGTGAATGTGGGGACGTGTGTTGGCGATAATGCAGGGATGTGAATGTGGGGACGTGTGTTGGGGATAACGCAGGGATGTGAATGTGGGGACGTGCTTTGGGGAAAACGCAGGGATGTGAATGTGGGGACGTGTGTTGGGGATAATGCAAGGATGTGAATGTGGGGACGTGTTTGGGTGCAGTGAGGATAGTCTGGTTGTTTTCACCTGCACTTCTCTCATCTCGTCGTCTATTTTCCCCTTCCTCTCTTCACACTTAGACACCTCCTGAGCATCTCAGTCTTCTGGTCAATGGCATTCTGAAACCCAAAGCAGAGAGGGGAGGGAAGGGGAGGTGGCTAGTGCCTGAAGTCGAACCAGACGCATATAAAGGAAGTGATGGAGTCCCTTCTGGGAGGGGTGAAAGATTAATTGACAGCGGAGGGTGGAGGGTGGGAGGGAAGGAGGGAGACTGATTGGTAATGAAAAGTAATCTAAGTCAAAAAATTTTAATTTTCTTCCACCTCCTTCTCTCCTCTCATCCTCCCTGTCTCTCCCCATCCCTCCTCCCCTCAACCTCCTCATCTACCCCCCA